TGATACTTTAAGCAAGCAAATAATAGGATAATTGTAAGATTCCTGCCAACCTAATTGTATCATATTTAAAATCTTAAAAAACCCTCTAAAAACACATAGTAATCAAATGATTCATAGTCGGTTGATTATATCAAGCTCTAAACCCATATCATTTAAACAATAAAATATCAGGACAATCAGATGATTCTTGCCAACCAAACAAAATCATCGTTTAAATCTTCAAAAACCTACTACATGAAAGCCAGATCATTCAAAGTTGGTTAATTATTTTAGATCTGAACTCACATGTCCGTACAAACAAGCAAATACTTAGGATAATCAGATGATTCAAATTCATTTGACCATATTAGCTGTGAACCCACAGTGCTGCTACTAGGATAATCAGATTATTCTTGCCAACCAAATTAAATCAAAATAAAAATAAAAAATAAAAAATAAAATACCACCCTCATAAAATCAGACGATTCAAATTCAGTTGACTATATTAGCTGTGAACCAACATGGGTATATACCTGCAAAAATATTGATCAACGAGAAGACAACCTATTACTATAAATAAGAACAGTAACTACTAATCAAACAAAGAGCAAATTAGTGTACAAGATAAGACTCCAATTCAACAGGAACAAACAAGACAAGTTCCTAGAGGTTGGAAAACTTAGTATATAACCAATAATAAGATAGCTTGCACGACATATCCAATAAAGTGCAGGCCTGTCTTTGGCCTTTTATTCCCATTGTTTTTCACATTTTTCAGCCACCATTAAACCTGTTGCCTCCCCCTTTACATTCCTTGCACTTCTCATATCTCCAAAATCTCTCATTCTGTTTCAAGACTTCATTTGAAAGACTTAACAATGGGAAATTGCCTCACAAGTGTCTCCAAGAGCAAGCCTTTGCCCATTGAAACTCTGTTCAAGTTGCCTTCTTCATTACCCACTTGGCCACCAGGTACTCTTCTCTCCTAATCATCATAGCAATCATTACTGTGTCCTATGGTCATCATATTCTATGTGTCGTTCCGATTTGACATGTCCTAAATACATATATGTGTTTTGTTTTCATCTTGAATTGTAGGTGAAGGTTTCGCAAGTGGAACCATTGATCTAGGAGGATTACAAGTGTGCCAAATCTCATCTTTCACCAAAATTTGGGCAACCCACGAAGGCGGACCGGATGGGCGTGGCGCGACATTTTTTGAACCATCTACAGTGCCAGAAGGTTTCTTCATGCTTGGCTACTATAGCCAACCGAACAATTTGCCTCTATTTGGATGGGTTCTAGCAGGGAAAGATGTCACAGCTGACCCATCAAATGGCGCTCTGAAGCAACCAATTGGCTATACTCTTGTTTGGAGTAGCGAGTCTTCCAAAATCAACCAAGATGGCAATGGCTACATTTGGCTGCCAACACCGCCTGACGGTTATAAAGCCGTTGGCCATGTTGTCACAAACTCGCCTGAAAAGCCTTCCCTTGACAAAATCCGGTGTGTTCGCTCTGACCTCACTGATGTGTGTGAGACTGAGGCATGGATTTGGGGGCTAGGTAAAGAGGTCAATACAAACGGGTTCAATATATTCAGTTCAAGACCAACTAATAGAGGGACACAAGCTCTAGGTGTCTCCACAAATACATTTATAGCCCAAAATGGTGGGGATGCTTTATCTATAGCTTGCTTGAAGAATGTCAAAGCCAATCTTTCTTCTATGCCTAATCTAAGCCAAATTCAGGCATTGTTTCAAGCTTACTCTCCTTTTATCTACTTTCACCCTGATGAAAAATACCTTCCCGCTTCAGTGAGCTGGTTTTTCACAAATGGGGCACTGCTATACAAAAAGGGGGAAGAGTCGAAACCTGTTCCTATCGAACCAACAGGCTCGAACCTCCCACAAGGTGGTTCAAATGATGGTGCCTATTGGTTGGACCTCCCAGTGGATGAAGCAGCCAAACAGCAAATCAAGAAAGGAGATTTACAAGATGCCGGGGTATATTTGCACGTTAAACCAATGCTTGGCGCAACATTCACAGACATAGCTATATGGGTGTGGTACCCTTTTAATGGACCAGCAAGGGTTAAAGTTGGACCCATCAATATTTCCCTCGATAAAATTGGGCAACATGTTGGTGATTGGGAACATGTAACACTAAGGGTGAGCAACTTCAATGGGGAGCTAGAGGGTGTTTATTTTTCGCAACACAGTGGAGGCCAATGGGTCAGTGCTTCAGAACTTGAGTTCCAAAATGGTAACAAAGTAGTTACCTATGCATCATTGCACGGCCACGCCTTCTATCCAAAGGCAGGCCTAGTTTTACAAGGGAATGGAAGTATAGGTATAAGGAATGATACTGCCAAGAGTAAGATGGTCATGGACTCTGAAGCGAGGTTTGTGGTGGTTGCAGCCGATTACTTGGGCTCAACTATTGTTGAGCCACCATGGTTGAACTATGCTAGGGAATGGGGTCCAACAGTTGGCTATGACATTGAAGAAGAAATCAAGAAGGTGGAGAAACTATTACCTGGGAAGCTGAAAACTACATTTGAGAAGTTTGTCAAGGGTTTGCCAAAAGAAGTATTAGGTGAGGAAGGCCCTACTGGTCCCAAAATGAAAAATAACTGGAGTGGAGATGAAAAGGTTTAACTGCATTATGTGAAAAATTGCACCTTGAGTAGGCATAATACTCCAATAACCTTTTTCAAATTCCATATGCCTATCCTCCTTTCATTACCCTCAAAGTGAACCTGTTTGGGGCTTTCGGCGTCACACCAGGGCAACGGTATTTTTCCGTGCAATTAGAACCATATTGATATACTTCTCCTCACATTAGTTTTCTTCGCCACAACAACTCTCTAAATTGATTCTCTCTTCTTGTATCATTAATAAGAATTATCACTCTCTCACTAATATATATATATATATTTTTAATTTCTTCATGTCTCAACTTACGTTTATGGTTTTCACAGTCCACCAAATTATCTCTAAAATTACATGCTCAAATAAATCTGGTCTTGTACTAAATTATTTCTTTCGTTTTTGTTTTTGTACTTTTATTGACAAAAGGTGTTTGTCCTTTTTGAGGGAACTTGCAGTTACACCCTTTTAAGTTTGGCAAAAAGACACTCAGAGGAAATTTACCTATTTTTTGGATAAAGACACCTTCTGAAGATTTAAAAATGGACAAAGACACCTCTTTAAACGAGAAATTGACCAAATTACCATTTAACCTTTTAGAAGACTTTTTTAACTTAACAATTTAATAAATTGGACCAATCTACCTTCATGAACAATTTATGCATATATATAAAAAAAATAAAAATAAAAAAATAAAAAACTTTATATTGTTCACTTTTTTTTTTTTTTTTATTATTTACTTTATTAATATCCCAACTTCTTAAAAATGTAAACGTCTAAAATGATTTTTTGATACAATACATATATTTCAAATAAATTATATTTTGTTATTACTTCTTTTCTTTTTCTTTTTTATTTTTAAATTAAGATGCTTAATTCTTTCATCTAAAAAAATTAAACCAATTTTTTTTTCTTAAAAATATAAAATATGGTACCAGTATAACTTTATACATCTTAAATTACATATGAAATATTATGCATTTCCCAACATAAAAGGGGGAAAAATAATAATAAAAAAAAAGGGGAAAAAAAAAGGCATGCATAAAGTTATACTGATACCTATTTTCTTTTATGTTGGGAAATGCATAATATTTGATATATAATAAGATGCATAAAGTTATACTGGTACCTTATTTTTTTAGATGAAAGAATTGAACATTTTAATTTAAAAATAAAAAAGAAAAAGAAAAGAAGTAATAACAAAATATAATTTATTTGAAATATATGTATTAGATCAAAAAAATCATTTTAGATGTCTACATTTTTAAGAAGTTGAGACATTTATAAAATAAATAACAAAAAAAAAAAATGAACAATATAAAGTTTTTTTTTTTTACTTTTTTTTTTATGCATAAATTGTTTATGAGGGGTTAAATTGGTCCAATTTATTAAATTGCAAAGTTATAAAGTCTCATAAACAGTCAAAGGGTAATTTGGTCAATTTCTTATGTAAATCAGTGTTTTGTCCATTTTTGAACCTTTAGAGGGTGTCTTTGTCCAAAAAAACAAGTAAGTTCCTTCTGAATGTCCTTTTGCCAAGTTTCAAGGGTATGACTGTACTTTATCCATATACTTTTTATTGACAAAAGGTGTTTGTCCTTTTCGACATAGACACACACGTGATGATGGCACCAGCTTGCTACCCATTCAATTGGATTCTTTCCAACTTGAAGTAAATGGAGCAAATTTTAGGATAATATTTGGAGTGATTTATGAACCCATATGATTTAAAAAAGCAAATATTAGGATAATCAAATGATTCCTAATTGCCAACCGAACTATATCATGGTTTAAATCTTTTAAAAAACTAGTAGAAACACATAAAAACCGAATGGTTCAAAGTCTGTTAATTATTTTAGATATTAACTCACATGTCCATATAAACAAGTAAATACTAAGATAATCAGAGTATTCTTACCAACCAAATTAAATCATAAGTTAATTTATTAAAAAATACTACCAAAAACTCATACAAATTGGTTGGTTGAATCAAATTTATTTGACTATATTAGCTGTGAACCGACAGGGCTACTCTACTAGGATAATCAGATTATTCTTACCAAGCAAATTAAATCATAACTTAATTTCTTAAAAGAACTACTAAAAACTCAATCAAATCAGATGATTAAAATTCATTGAACTGTATTAGCTGTGAATCCTTAGGGGTATGTAGCTGCAAAAATATTGATCAACAAGAAGACAAATCCTTAGGGGCATGTAGCTGCAAAAATATTGATCAACAAGAAGACAACGTACTACTATAAATAATAATACTAACTACTAGTCAAGCAAAGGGCAAATTAGTGTACAAGATAAGACTCCAATTCAACAGGAACAAAAAAGAGTCCTTGAGGTTGGAAAGCTTACTATATAACCAAAAATAATATAGCTTGTAGGAGACATCCAATAAAGTGCTGGCCAGGCCATTGCTTTTTATATTTTTCAAGCATTATTAACAGAAGATGCTTGTTCCCTCCCCCTTTACATTACTTGCACTTCTCACATCTTCAATATTCTTCGGCTTCAACACTTCATTAATGGGAAATTGTCTCAATCTGCCTTCTTCAACAAATGTCTCCAAGAAAATCAGCAAGTCTTTGCCCATTGAAACTCTGTTCAAGTTTCCTTCTTCATTGCCCACTTGGCCACCAGGTACTTCTCTCTCCTATTATCACCATCATTACTATGTTCTATGGTCATCATATTCTACGTGTTGTTTTGATTTGATATATCTAAATACATGTATATGTTTTGCTTTGATCTCGAATTTCAGGTGAAGGTTTCGCAAGTGGAACCATTGATCTAGGAGGATTACAGGTGTGCCAAATCTCATCTTTCACCAAAATTTGGGCAACCCACGAAGGCGGACCGGATGTGAGTGGCGCAACATTTTTTGAACCATCGCCGGTCCCAGAAGGTTTTTTCATGCTTGGTTGCTACAGCCAACCAAACAATTTGCCTCTATTCGGATGGGTTCTAGCAGGAAAAGATATCACAGAGGACCCATCAAATGGTGCTCTGAAGCAACCAATTGACTATACTCTTGTTTGGAGTAGTGAGTCTTCCAAAATCAAGCAAGACGGCAACGGCTACATTTGGCTGCCAACACCGCCTAACGGTTATAAAGCCGTTGGGCATGTTGTCACAAACTCCCCTGAAAAGCCTTCCCTTGACAAAATCCGATGTGTTCGCGCTGACCTCACTGATGTATGTGAGACTGAGGCATGGATTTGGGGGATAGGTAAAGAGATCGATACAAACGGGTTCAATGTATTCAGTTCAAGACCAACTAATAGAGGGCCACAAGCTCTAGGTGTCTCTTCAAATACATTTGTAGCCCAAAATGGTGGGGCTGCTTTATCTTTAGCTTGCTTGAAGAATGTCAAAACCAATCTATCTTCAATGCCTAATCTAAGCCAAGTTCAGGCACTATTCCAAGCTTACTCTCCTTTGATTTACTTTCATCCTGATGAACAATACCTTCCCTCTTCAGTAAGCTGGTTTTTCACAAAAGGGGCACTCCTATACAAAAGGGGGGAAGAGTCAAAACCTGTTCCTATCGAACCAACTGGCTCGAACCTCCCACAAGGTGGTTCGAATGATGGAACCTATTGGTTGGACCTCCCAGTGGATGCAGCAGCCAAAGAGCAAGTCAAGAAAGGAGATTTACAAGATGCCGGGGTATACCTGCACGTTAAACCAATGCTTGGCGCGACATTCACAGACATAGCTATATGGGTGTTCTACCCTTTTAATGGACCAGCAAGGGCTAAAGTTGAACTCATCAATATTTCCCTAGGGAAAATTGGGCAACATGTTGGTGATTGGGAACATTTGACACTAAGGGTGAGCAATTTCAACGGGGAGCTAAAGGGTGTTTATTTTTCGCAACACAGTGGAGGCACTTGGGTCAGTGCTTCAGAACTTGAGTTCCAAAATGGTAACAAAGCTGTTACCTATGCATCATTGCACGGTCACGCCTTCTATCCAAAGCCAGGTCTAGTTTTACAAGGGAATGGAGGTATAGGAATAAGGAATGACACCGCCACGAGTAAGGTGGTCATGGACTCTGGAGTGAGGTTTGTGGTGGTTGCAGCTGATTACTTGGGGTCAACTATTGTTGAGCCACCATGGTTGAACTATGCTAGGAAATGGGGTCCAAAAATTGACTATAACATTGACGAAGAGATCAAGAAGGTGGAGAAATTATTGCCTGGAAAGCTGAAAACTGCATTTGAGAAGGTTGTTAAGAGTTTGCCAAGTGAAGTATTAGGCGAGGAAGGCCCTACTGGCCCCAAAATGAAACCTAATTGGAGTGGGGATGAAAAGGTTTAATTAATTACATTATGTAAAATAGGTTTGCTGTAAAATCTGAAAATAAGATATTTATACTTCTTGTCACTACACAACTAGTATTGATAATATGCCACCAAATCATTTGTGTTATAGCTTGATTATGTTCTGCAGATGGATATTATGTATTCTTCCCGTCAGTGTTCACAATTATGATCATAAATTTCATGAAAAATTAATGCATAAATCTACTATGTTGGCGTATCAATTTCCTTTTTTCTTTTTTCTGCCAGGGGGTGGGTATGTATATATATACATACGTATATTAATATATTATATTTTAACAGGGTGTAGGTTGTTTTTTAAGTTCAGTTGTTGCATATGTTTGGTCAGTCGATCATTGATATGTTTCTAAGGCTGAGCACCCATTTTGATGGCCAGAAGGATGGTCTTGATGCCAACCTTTGACACATTTGATATGCCACCACCACTATAATGATATGATGGGTACTTCTACCAGCCCTTGAGCCCAGGTGGTATCCCAGCTAGCTGGTGAGATATTTGAGCCTCACAGTTCATTGCCTCAAAATAATAATAATAATAATAATAATAATTAAAGCCATTATGAAGTGTCGTAATTGTTAATCAAGTGTGGTGGGAGACGTGGATTGTGTACAGCCTGAACTTCACATTCTTTGTACAAAGTGCCTACCTCAAAATCGAACCAACATATAAAAGGTAGTGACTCCACTGGTTTCATTATTTGTTCATATTCCTGCTCTTTAACCTTACCTTCCCATCTCTCCTAATTTATATAGGAAATTTCCTTGAAGTTAGTTAGGACTAATTTCCACAAGATGCCAAGTTATGTGAAATACGTGTTCTTATAGCATCTGTATATCCCTTTAAAAGGTAGTGACTCCATTGGTTTCATATTTCTCGAAGGCATTAAGCAAACTAACATATAAAGGCATATTAAGCAAAAAAAAAAAAAATAAAGATCGGTGTCTTGTTAGATTCATCAATAAGGAGGACTGTTTTCATTTAATCATAAACAACAATCATAATATTTCCTACCTAATGATTACTCAGAATGTTAATCACAATCCAAAACATAATTCATAAAAGGGAAAAGTCTAAAAATAATTCCTAGTGATGTTTTAATAAAAGTTAATGACACAAGAGAAAAACAATATTAAATCTAAATCTTTCTTCCTTCCTTCATATATTAAGAAACTGAAAATTCTCCAAAAGAATGTTTTCAATATCATTACTTCTTTTATACTCTCACATGTATAAGAAAAAACATAAAGTACATGTGCAAGTAATAGCATAATTGCAACATAATCACATTTGAGCAATCACATTATTTGATCCCATGTTTATACGTGATTACTATTGTAACAAAAACATGATATGAAGCCTCCTATATTCCTACGCAATGAAGGCTATAATTTGGTTAATTCGATCCCCTATATAACTTTCTACTAGCATTTATCAGATGAAATTAGAAATCTGGGCTCTTTTTATGTAAAATGAGAGTTGGAAACACACACCCCCCATAAACATGGCTGAGTGTTAAGTTTAGTCCACTCCTTATGAGACCAGTAAATCCAAATGGTTGATCATTCTTCAAGTGGCCTACAAAATTTGTTCACTGCAGTCACAACCAACCAGCCATTAACAACAATGAATCCTCAAATTTCTAGCGTAAGTCAGCTTATGTCAACTCAGCATGAATCCATCATTTTGGCTGCTCTTACTTACAAATCTAATGCATCTCATTAAAATAAATAAATAAATAAAAAGAAAGAAAAAAAATACATGATTGAAAATGATCCTGATTCGGTATTTAATTGTGTTTCCCTGTTTCTTGAATTTATGGTTTTACTTCTCTATATTTTGGTAATTTTACAGTAATTCTTGTAGCCTCATTCCCTCAAACGCTTGAAATAACTTGCATATGTGGGATATTTGATTCCGTGTGTTCCTATAGAAAAATCAGAGAGAGTCATTACAATCCCAAGACGTTTGGGATATTTCCACAAGCACCTTGTAAACTAATAATCCAAAACAATTGCGTACACATATAAAATGCATTTGTAGCTTTCAAATCCTATATAAAGAAAATAATTCATTCACTCAAACCCCAAAAGTAGTTGCTTATTCATATAAACTCAAATCACTCCAGAAGGGAGGTTGAGGTTCAATCCCAATAAAAATAATAATTCACACACCCATATATATATCTACTTACATATATGTGTGTGTATATAGTTGCAGAGATCATCTAAGAAGCTAGAAAAAAACGACTGTACCGGTTCACCTGTGAGAGCCTCCGTGAAATATAATAAGAGATTGACGCGCCAATCGTCACTTTTTGTGTGACAATGACTCCTTGTTGCCACCCAACGGAATATCCATAGACACATTCATCGAATTTTTCATTTTTCACTTAAAAAATAATTTCAATCTCCCAGAACGGAGGTTTGTTGCACTCTACCCATAGGGGTTTGTTTGGCACATTTTCTATAGAATGGAGGTTTCTTGCACTCTACCCATATCCTTTTAGACTTTTTGGTAGAATTTTAAACAAATAAATAAAAAAACAGGAGAAGATACAAAATGTTCAAATAGACCACGTGATTTATTTTAAAATAGGGTTAATTTCATCTACACCCCCTGATGTTTGCCTATATTCCATCTACACTCCCTATCAGTAACTACGGTCTAGCTTAACAACATAAATATGTAATTTTACTATTTTGCCCTTAAATTATATATTAAAATTTATAACTTAAAAGAAAAGTCTTTAACACCCTCACACATATATACATACACACACAATATATATATATATATATATATATATATATATATATTTCTTTTTTCTATTTTTTTTCCCCTTTCTTCTTCATTGTTGCCGTCCACGAAGAAACTATGCCACTTATAAAATACACAAACAACAACCAAAGAAAAAGATGGTTCTTATCACAGCCCAGTCGTTCTCCTTACTGCCCGCCGTTCAATTGCAAGGACACACCGTCGTTCAAGCTTCAGTCCTTCCTGCCCGTTGTTCAATTGCAAGGATACACCGCCGTTCAAGCTTCAGTCCTTACTGTCTGCCGTTCAATTGCAAGGACAGTTAGCTGGTTCTTATCACAGCCACGATCCTCCGTTGCGAGACCACCAACGTGCAGTGAACAAACCGCGAAGCTTCGCCGGACTGAACTGAGCTTCGTCGGACTGAACTGGGTCGAGGTAGCTGTGAACTTCGCCGCCGTCGTCTTTGATCCGGCTTACCCCGTTCTTGTCCAGCGTTACGACGGTGACTACACACTTTCTTCGTATCACAAAAACTAATCTTCTCAAGCTCATCACAAATAGAAATAGGGACTTTAAAGCACTGAAATCCTCTAGCTTCTCTTCCATTAGGATGATGAGTGAAGGGACCCATAAATCGAGCTATTTGTTTTCCCCTCTGAAACCTTGCATATTTGATATATTTTCTAGCAAACAGCCCAGAACCTGGGTATCAAGTGATGAACCCATCTTCTCCGGCGACAACATCTTCAACACCGACGGCGAGAGCTGGAACTTTCCCGGCGTTTTCCAATGGTGCATCTGTGTTATTACAAACTGATTGAATCTTTGAATTCTTACTGTTGGAGTCATTTTGGAAGGAATTTCATCACCAGAATCCTTGATATCACTGACAGATTGCTGGCTGCCGACGGTGTACTACGGACTGCTTCATTCCCCGAGATCGGGATTCGCAGAGTCTGAAATTTTCTTGAGCAAACCACTGAGGAAACTTCTTGTTTTTCTCTGGACGAGGAAAAAAACATGAAAGAGAGAGAGAAAAAAAAAAAGTTGGAAAACCCATCTTCTCTGGCGACGGTATCTTTAACAACGACGGCGAGAGTTGGAAGTTTCATCGCCTTTCAGTTCAATCTCGCCATTTCTTGCTAGATTTAAGCCTTATAAACAGCCGCAATCAATGTCTCTCGGTGGCGGGACGTTGGATTACAGGCTCGACGGTGTCGTAATCGGCAGCGAAAATTAACGTCTCGTGCTCCGACGAGAGGGCCGGACCCAGCCCTTATAGCCTCTCCAACATTGCGCTATTGATCACCACCGTCGACGCGAGAACCCTCGACCGTGACTTTCTGGTTACATAAGCCTCGACCCTTGGGCAAACTGAAACTCTGGCCGCTCTCAGTAGACAAACCACTTTAAGACCACAGCAATTGAGACCTTGAAACCAGTGTGTGGAAGGAAGAAGATGATATATGAATGAATATATATGTTGAAGTGAAAGAAAGGGTATTCTTGTACACTTGAGTTAACAAATTAAGGATAGTTTTGTAATTACGTATTGGTGAACGAGGTTAAAGATGTCATTTTAGATATTAAAAGGGCAAAATTGACTTTCTAACAATTTTCTGATGCTGACATCAGCACACATCGTTAGTGGCTTAACGACAGGGGTAACTTGCTATACAAACCAAAACCTTAAGGGAGGTAGATGGAATTATGAAATGTAGAGGGGGTGTAAGTGGAATATAGGCAAACGTCAGAGAGTGTAGGTGGAATTAACCCTTTAAAATATCCATTAGACATCTAAATGTGTTAAACTATTTAGTGGCGGATCCAGGGCTGGGCTGGGCTCCAGCCCACCCCAAATTTTATTTTTTTTTTTTATTACTATGGGTATTTTTAGCCCAGCCTAAAAAAAAAATTTATTATTAATATTAGCCCACCTAAATAAGCCCAACTCAACTAAGCCACAATATTAAAATAAAGGCCTAAACCTAACAAGCCCTATTAATGATGAGTATTAGGATATGAAGTAAAACATGTTTTGAGATAAAATTGTTGTAGATGCAGTTCTATGAAAAATAAACAGAGCTGCTGTATTTATCTAGAAAGTATTCAACAAACAAACAAAAAAATCTATGGCATTATAAATTACGAAAATTTGATGATTTTGATCTCTAGTAGACAAGGAGTATTAGTATAAAAGAAAGCATCTAAATCCAATAATTCACAAATCAAATGTTACTAACTTACTACAGATTTAAATAAAACAAATATAGATGGGTAAGTGTTAGAATTTCAAATTGATTTATAAAATAAAACCACAAACAAAAATTACAATAATTCAATCTTTAAAAAAAAAAAAAAAAAAAATCAAATATGAAACGTGTTAAAGCATAGTACGATGGGAGACAAATATCTTGCTGATTGCATGACCGTACGGGACCT